CCCTTTTAGTTCTGTTCTAGGAAGTATTAACACTGGGAGGTGCGGCACAAGTAATAAAAACCCAGAGACAGATATTGGGGTTCAACCTGAAGATCAGAAAAGCAAAGCAGCCAAGCCACTAGAGAGCTCTTACCTCTATGAAATCTTCAGACAGAAAAAGCAAGTTCCTGTTTCATCTTGCCTTGTATTCCTCTCTAGTGCTGGGATTAAAGGTGTGCACCACCACAGTCTGGCCTCTATGGCTACCTAGTGTGGCTGCTGGGATTAAAGGTGTGTGCTACCACTGTCTGGCCTGGATGGCTGACTAGCGTGACTGTCTTGCACTAACCTTCAGGCAAGCTTTATTAAAATGCAAATGAACTATCACTACCAGGAGGCTTGTTTGGTCTCTCCGGATGGTGTGAACCCTGATCCTAGCGTGGTGAGAACTGTTCTCTTCCTAGAAGACGGCAAGGCTGTACCTACTAAGGACTTGGTGTGAAGCGTGACTGAGTCTAAGCCTTGCAGGGAAGGTGTGAGGGCTGGAAGCAGCCAGGGAAGGATTGCTACCACTCTCTGCTCAGGCTGAACTGGCCTCCTGCAGTGCCCTGGTCAGACCAAGACTGTATAGGGCCCATGCACCTGCTGTGCCTTCTGTGTTCTTGTAGCTTCTCTCAGGTCTCAGCCCAAGCAGCACTCTGTTGGAAGCATTCCCTCAAGACCACAGAATCTCTACACCTGACGGTGCTGCTGCCTTTGCATGCACCGGTGCAGGGACGGCAGCAGATGCTCTGTTTTCTTCCATTCACAGATAAACTGTATCCGTGAACTATCTTTCTGCAGAAGGCCAGGTCTTTACCACTGCTTTCGTGTCCTCTGCAGCAGGCAGTGGTTCCTGTTTGATGCATGAGCGGGTCTTCCCATTTCAAGGAAGGACTCCTGTATTGTTGCTTCAGGTCTTTGGGCCAGTTCTTCCAGAAGAAATATGCTGTGTGCCAGGGTTCTCAGAGTTGCCTGGACAGACTCAGAGTGGGAGGCACCTACCTTTATTTTTTTTTCCACTTCAGAAGGGACTCTTCCCTGTCTTCTCTGCTGGCATAAGGTCTGGAACCCTTTGGATCAACCCCTTCTTAGGGAAACTCTTGAATTACGGGAGTCTGGGGTGTCATACAGAGCAGGAATCCCATGGTTTTGTGTATGGTGGAGGCTGGTAGGGAGAGAATTTGCCAACCCTCACCACCAGTCAGTCAGTCTAGGCTCTCTGCGGCTCTGCCGGTGACTGCTGCAGATGTAGGGGAAGGCCCTGGCAAGCAGTGCTGGCCAATTCCCATGGTGTAAACCCTCCTGCCATAGCCAACATCGCAGGGTTTTTATAAATCCCTTCATAACCTTTTGTAACCGCCCCTCCCACAATAGAACTGTGATCCACCATCTGTTTTCCTTGAATGCCTCCAGGCGCTTCAGATAAGCAAATTTTGATTTTCTTTTGATATCAGTTACCAAGGACTTTAAGTCTTTAATTATAAGATCTTTTTAAAGCCTAAATTTCCCAGCTTCTCCTTTCCACACAGTTGCTACAAAGTCTGTACTCTGACATAAAACAAACAGGCAAAAGGATGCCTGAACACAGTAAAGCCTAGAAACAGACCTCCACCGTCCCCGATTCCAGGATGTGTGCTTGCACATCCACGGCACGGTTTGTGTGGTATAGAAATGCTTGGGAACTGTAGTCTCTTCTTCCCTAAAGGGTGATGTTTGAAAGGCTTATTCTTCAGCCTGAGCCTACTGGGAAGGAATGGAGATGCGGGGAGGCGGGGTCTATTGGGGAGGCGCTGATCAGTGGGACCATTCCCTGTTGGTGGGATGCAGCCCTTTCTGTCCCCGCCTCCATTTGCTGGCTCTAAGATGAATGGGGCCCCAGTACACTCACTAGCCACCTTGCTGTGCCCCAAAGCAATGCCGTCAGCTGACCTTGAACTGAACCGGCCAAAGCACTGAGCCCATGACTACCTAGTCTGTTTTATGATTGTTTCTAAATTACAGAAGCTAATACAGTGACCTGAAATTTTTGAAGTCCTGGAAATAGTTCTTTTTTGTTATGTGTTGGTATTTTTCTGGCATGTATGTCTGTACCCTGTGTGCCTGGGATTGCAGTTACCGAGGTTTGAGAGGCACCATTTCGGGGCTGGCCCTCTACAACATGCAGGGGCTGTTAGCCATTGAGTCCTCCCTCTCGTGCCCCGGAAAGAATTCCTAGTTACCAGTCACCCTCTCTGGCTCCCAACCCACTGAGTTTGAGATTCTCCACGAGCTGAATTTTCTTGCCTTCAGAAGAGATCGTGTTGATTGCGGTTTTAAGTATTTCTTGAATTCGTCCTCGTCCACGCCTCTTATGTTCCATTTCAGACCCTCCTTACCTACCGATGCTGCGACCATGGCTTTCCATCTTGTCTTTCTTTCCTCCAGCCCAGTCTGCCCCATAGCGTGGATACCTGTTGTCATGCCTACAGTCTCTCTGTAGACACACTGTGTGCCTTTGTCTATGAGCTCCAGTCTGAGGCAGTTCTGGCAGGAACAGCTTCTCTCCTGTACATGTTAAGTTCATGCCGAAGTTAGAATGCCAATTACAAAGCTATCTGATGGGGCCTTTCTGGAAACCGCGCCAGGCTCAGCAGCACGTCTGCACTCTTCCCAGTCCTTCCTGGATCTCCGCTGTTACTGACTTCACCTCCATGACTTCTTCCTAGATCACGGTGCATTTCTCTGTTGTGCTCGCCACACACACTCCAACAGGTGTCACATTGCTTTTCCTGCAGAGCAAGTCACTCTCCACCCTTGAGTGTCCTCCCCCCCCTCACAACCACAGGGGACACCTCTAAAAGAGCTGGTACCGGGCTCCCTACCAATCAAGGCTGTTGTCTTTGCATTTCCAGGTCCTCTGGGAGGTGCCCTTGCTACCCACTTTGCTAGACTTTCTGATCTTGCTGCCATGGCATGCCGCCACAGTTGCTCTTCTCCTGTGGTTGCAGCTCTAACAGGCAGAGGCGACATCTTTTTAATGGGTGGGAGATGGGTTATCGATCATCATGTTGGCTGCAGAGATCTACAGTGTTTGCCACACTTCATGTAATGGAAATGTCACAGCCATTAACATTTAAAGAATATTTATTGGCATGGGAAAATGCTCACAATATGTTAAAGAAAGCAGGGTACAAATCTGTAAACACAGCATGGTCCAATCTTGTAGTAAAATAAATTATATATGCATAGAAAAAATACAGGAAGGGGAATACACTAAAGATTACCAGTGATGCTCTGGGGTGGGGGACGACTCTGAGTCAATGATTAGTTTTACGGCTTCCCGCACTTTCCAAACATTCTACCAGGAGCACGTATGACTTTGATAGACAGGGGGATGCATGTTGAACGAGACTCATGTGCTGAGTAGCAATTAGTTACTTATAAAGCTTCAGCCTGTCCTATACGAAGGAAGGGTGGCGTCTGCCCTGCCTGCTACTGAGGGCCACTGGGCACCTGAAAGGGTCACAGCCATCTGGGAGCTGTTCCGTCAAGCAGCTTGGATGCTTTTAGGACATTCTTCTCCATCCGTCCTTCACCTCCAAAGTCTGGTGTGGGCAGAGTGCCGGACACTGCAATGGTCTCTGTCCCGTCACCCTCCCTCGAGAGGGAGTGGCCCCACACCACTGGTCTCTGACCTAGTGGAGCCCAGGTCTTCATCTAAACTCTAACTGACCAAGCGTCTCACGCCCGTGCTGGCACCTCCCTGGTGGGAAAGACGGAGACTGCTTCTGCTAAAACAGTTCTCGCTTAAGATGGCCCGAGAACCGCCGCCCGTGCTGCCTCCATCTTAAAGCCTCTGGCTACGCGGCCGGGCATACAGTAGAGAAGGTGCTGACTTCAAGCCTGCGACTGGATTCTGGCCGGCGGCTGGGCTGGAGAGGTGTTGCCTCCAGATAGGGTGAAGCTACAGAGCAGACACGGAACTGGATGCTCAGTGCTCTTTCTGTGTGTGAGGCGAAACTACTCCCCCTTCTTTCTAAGAATTAATCCTTTAGAAAAAGAAGTACCCCGTACAGAGAGATGGAAAGGGAAAGGGATGCACGGGACGTCCAGGAGCACAGCTGCGGCCGGCCGTGAGCACAGGGCCAGCGAGGGGCACCCTACCAGGCACGGAAAAGCTATCCAACCAGAGATTATAAAAATACTTTCAAAATGCATTTGTAGAATGAAATAACAAAATAAATTCCCTTGCTCTGGATTTTTCCATTTAAGCTAAAATCATGAATTGCCAAATAAAATGAAAACTGCAGACGCTATTGGCTGAGACATGGACACAGGTTCTTCCCAGTGACTGTGGGTGGAAACCCTGGTCGCTGACAAGCGTTCTGAATTTGATTGATCAGAGCGGTCATTAGGAAATATGTCTATGGCCACATCATCACACACAGTATTTTCTGGGTTGACTCTTTAGGGACGTAGAGTCCCAGGTTTGCTCTGCCTTGGACAGCGGGTTTCTCTCCCATCCTGACATGCACCTGACCCCATCTGCACTGTGACGAAAGGGTCCTGCAGGCCTTCCACCCTCAGAGGGCCTCCCTTGCTCTCAGTGCGCCTACTTAAGTCTAGTAAACTCTTTCTGCTTTTGTGTGTGCGTGCTGGGGTGAGGGGAGTTGGGTGGGGGTGGGGCTTTTAAAGCCCAAGCAATCACACGTTAGAAATAAATGTAAATCTTAGTGATGCAATGTTCTTTAAGGTTTCCCCTCTGAGTAAATTTTAAGGAACTTATATCTCTGGCAGCTCAAAGACCTTTTGCTATTCAATTCCTGATGTGCAGCTTTGTCAGGAATAATTTAGGATAAAAGCCATTCTCACTAGTACTACGCACTCTTTGCCCATTAAAGAAAGAGGGTATGTGATGACAAGTGAGGGAACAGACGGAAAAACACTCTCAAACATAAACCGGGCAATGGTACCCATAAAGAAACACACACACAGATGGCTAAATTGAATCATCCCCAATGTTTTATTTAATTTAAAGTTTTAAAAGGCAGTGGTTAAGCACATAATCTATGTGTGTGCATATATGCATGTGTGTGTACCTACACATACATACATATATGAAAGGAAACCAACCCCTTTTCAACTTTAGCCACTGATCAACTTGGCCCACTGTCTACATGATTGCACATCTACTTCATATGACCATTTCTAAGAGTAAAAATAAACAGCCTTAATCAGTTTAATAGTAACTATTTGTGTTTCTTTTTTAAATAAATAAAGTTACCATTAAACTGATCACATATGGTAGAAAGAACACACACAAATACACACAGAGACCCTTGTTTAAAACGTGACATACGAATGACCTTTATGTACAAATAGTGCTGTTGGCTCCCTACCCCCAGCACAGGCCATGAGAACCCCACTACTGGGGAGCCCCATCCTCTCTGTTGCCTGGAGGATGAGTGTGCACTCGGCACCCTGAGAGCTCAGAATGCGCGCGCTCTGGATGCGACAGTACGGGATGGTGGTCCAGCCCTACGGTACGTGTAGTGTTCAGAACATGAGGGATGAATAGGCACGTGTAGCTGCCTGGAACGAAGCCGTCATCTAACTCCTCAGGAGAGCTGTGTTCTCAAGTTTAGCGGGGTGACATACAAACTTTGTAAGTCTGGGGCTCTGTGCGTATGTTTCCACGTGTATACAAAACTGAAGGGAAGTGTGGGGCTGGGTCACCGAGGAGTCCCCTGCCTCAGCCCTTGGTACTAGCTCCACAGGTGCTCGTGTGCCTCGGGTTCTGGAGAGACTCAGAAGGGGCTGTTTACATGAGTGGGTGGAAGGACACTGCTGAATCTTCAGCTAGGAATCCCGGCAGCAGGACTGCCAGGCTGGACCAGGCTGCTGTGCAGAGTGAGTCCCACACCGCATCCTGATGAAATGGAATGACCGTTTCTGCTCCTAGCCCGCGACTGCCTAACTCCAGCTCTGTGTGGATGCCTCCATGTTGCAGAGAACACAGGACCACCTCTTAAATATGCTGGGTTCCCAAAGGAAACCAGCTAATGTGTTTCTAGCCAAAGCAAGGGCATACATGTTTTAGAGAAGAAGATTCCCCTGGAGCTACAGAGAGAAGATGCTGATAAAAGCCATATTGAGAGTGGAACAGGCGACGGTGCTCTTCAGTCCGTGTCGGAGCTGGTCTCCTCGATGACGGAATACTGGCTGAGAGCTTCCTCCAAAGGCGTTATTGTCCCGTCAGGCTTTAGTCCCATTGGTTTAAGCAACTCCTCTCTGGAAAAGAGATAAAAGAAAGAGAAAAAAGTATTCACCAGCATCACACACACCCCTCCCCCACCCGGAGCCACATCCTTTTAAAAAGAGAAGTTTCTAAAACCCAGAGTATTTTCTCTCAAGCTCTCTCTGTGTTTGTAATAGAAAGATGAAAGGGGCATGGGTAGAAAAAGAGGAGATGAAAGACTTCATTCACACAAGCCAAACCCACTAAGCCAATTAAAGTATGAAAAGTCAAGGTCCAAATGGGCTCAGGACAAGGAGCAGGTCTCTTCTGTTTTGAATAATTAACTTTTTTTCCTCTTGTGGATTCATTTGTTTTAGAGAAGTTGAAGCTGCCAGAGTTTCACCTGCCCATCTTAGAATTAAGCACATGTTTCATTTAATGGCATCCGTTGTCAAATTTGGGTTTGTTGCCACCATCTCTGACTCAATGAATACTTGTGGGTTCATTTCAAATCAGCTGAGGTTCCCCACTTTTCTTTCCCTTTTCTCGTTTAAAACACCATTGCTTTTGTTTGTGGCAGTTTAATTATGGGATTGACAGCCATTTTTAATCTCTTCAAAGCTCCCCAACTGTCTTCACCTAATCCAATTGTATCCACTCCACAAGTTACAGCCTCATCTAAGATGGTTAATTATTGATTAAGCCAATCAAAAAGCATCAGGAAAGATTTACTTAATTTCTTCATAGGCCGTATTTATTATTGCAAGGAGGTCGTGACAAATCTACCTACTGAGTTGCTAACTCCAAGCCTTCCACTCCCAACAGGCTGGTAGTGCGCTTAAGAGTGCGTCGAAGGCACGGGAGTTGCTTAAAACTTATTTCTCATGGAGACGGGCACCACCGTCTGAGAATATGACGCAGCCGCTGTAACGCTGGTGGGCTCTGGTGTGAAGGGAAACAGTAACACCTCCCCTCTCCTTGCTACTGTCCCTTCAGACAGCACAGTGAAGCCTGGGGAGGTGAGCTCAGCTCGGTGACTGGGTTAAAGGAACAGGAGCCTATGTAATGGCTCTGGCTAGTGTCAGAGGATGACTGCTGAGGCCAGAGTCTGGGAAATGTGGCTGGCTGGCTAACCGAGGCTCCTGCGTGTTCTAAGTAAGAAACAGGATCAAAACCATAAAGCTCGAAGTTGGAAGGAGCCCCACGGATCATTCAGTCCAACCCCCTTTTTGAAAGGAGGCTGAGCCACTTACCCAAGGCCGCTTAGTGGCAGAGTTGGGCATGGGACAGGTCTCCTGAAACAGAGTCCTGTGCTCTTTGCAGTAAATCCCATCAGCTGCCGCCCTAACTGCACGGAAAAGCAGCCGAGTTCACTGCGCAGTGACCGTGTGAAAGGAACTGCCACTTGCTGGGCAGACGAGGAAGACAGGCGGCAGCGGCTGCCCTTGACAAGTGGACAAAACAGACAGACCCAAGATGACCTGGGCCACAGATGGGGTGCAACAGTGCTCCCGAGAAGCATGGCCGCACTACCCAAGGGAGGCAGAAGTCCACACAAATGAGGAGACTGTGAGGTCCCACTGTCTTGTGTGCCTGTGTTAAGTTGCTTTTGCTGCTTTGTGCTCTTGTAAGGCTGGACAAGGAAGAAGTGAGGGGTGAGGGAAGGAAGGAGCTCAGCATTTGTCCTGGAGCGGCCACTGGTTCACACCCTCTGGGAGCGTTGTGCAGACTCACCAGGATGGAGGCCATTGTAATGGTGTATGGAAAATGAAAGAGATGGATTGTGGCTGAGGCTGTGGGAAGGAGAGGCCTCACGCCTCAGGTGTGGAAGGGGCTGGGGAAGGAGAGTGGTTAAATGTCCCTATGGCTCCAGGGCAGGTACTAAGGCACTCCCTACAGGAGCCAGGACACAGGCAGATTCGGTGGAATGGTGCTATTTTTCAGGACACAAAGAGCTTGACCTGCCTTTGTGGCAAACAGACACGCCAGTGGAGAGCCACCAGCAATGACCGGGCCACGACCGGGAATACTCGTTGTGACTGTGTGACACTGAATCCTGACGACTGATGTAAGGAGAGGGACACCTTGCTGAGGACAGCACACTGCAGGCTAAGAAAATTCACATCTGTGAAAACAAGAGCCTGGCTCAAAAGGCCAAAAACCCAAACACAAAACTTTAGAACCAAATGACCTAGGTTTAAAGGTGTTGGTAACTGAAGGCTGTGAGGGATGGTAGGGAAAGGCAGAACAGAACTGCCTGGCAGACACACCACTGACAGTACTAACACTATTACATTTCCATAGTAACAGGTCCATACTGGGACCAGCTGCCAGTGTGTGAACTGCCCAGCGACTTCCTACTCTTTAGTCCAACTTTACAACTGGGAATAGCTCAGAATCTTAGTTTTATGGAGAATTTACAAGAGTTAATTTACAGAACAAAGGGCACCCATCTTTTAATTCTCACTTGTTAACTGTGCCCTGTATCACCTTGCACACGGCTCCGTGCAATGCCCGTGTCTGACATTTCTGTAGGAAAGGCTTCAGTGCACCCTGGCCACAGTCATGCATTCATGCAAATCAATTAAGACAGCACTGTGACGTGTGGGAGGAGCGAGGCTGAGGTCTGGACTCTTCCACCTACTAGTGTGAGATCTTGGGCAAGTCTGTGAAATGGGGTCATGGTAACACTAGCTCTGCCTACTTCCCAGTGATGACATAAGTCCCAGCACCACAGTGGTAGCAACAACAGCACCAGTACAGATCAAAGGGTTCTGGGGCCTGGAGAGGACTCAAGGATTTACTCTGGGAAGTGAAAAGCATATACAGGTTCTAAAGCCAGACCCGGTTTTTAATTCTAGATCAACAGCTCATTACCTGAAGACCTGAAAACTCTAAACTTGGATTTCATTTTCAGTAGAATGGATCAGAAACACCTCACTAAGCAATCATGAAGGCACACACCACAGACTACACATAGATAGAAAGTGTGCAGTGTAACGGCTGGGATAGAATCAGAACCCACAAGCTTTACTCTAGTTCCTTGTGTTTACAGGAGGCTTCCCCTTCCTGATAAAATAGTGTGAGGGGTGGTGGGGGAAGAGTACACAGAGGTAAATAACAGACGTGGTTCCTGTCCTCAAGAAGCTTCAGTCAGTGTGGAAGAGAATACGCACACACATTAAACAATACCAAAGATCACAGAACAGCAGATCAACAAGCTAGGATGATTGACATGCAGAGCCTCAGCTCACCAGCAGACTCCTGTGTGTGGAGTGTGTTCAAGAACATTTCTTGTCCTGTTTGGGAGCAGAAATGATCACTTACTAGCTTGTGACTGCTTTACCCATGGACCTGGATTGCTTCTCATATTCTTACGTCTAACTTTTCTGTTCTTCTCTATCCTGAAGCTAGCACAGCAACCTACAAACACCAAACACAATCTCTGCTCTAGACATCTCATGACCTGGTGGATGGGGGTTATCTTAGTTTCCTGAGGTCTGTTTGTGCCCAGGTCAGTAAGACTGTCACCTGGCGATGCACACATAGAAAGGACACGGAAGGAAAGGGGGACATGTTACTACGGCTCTCTGCAGGAGGCAGACGGGAGGCCACACCATAACGGCACTGAAGACACGCATCACAGAAGAAAGGCATCCCGGAAGCAGAATTAGTCAAGCAAAGGCACACAAGAGAGAGTTAGTCATGTGCGGGACTGGCAAGCAGGCTGGCTTGGCTGAGGAAAAGAAGGAAAGCTCAAAAGTGCTGAGGCAGGAAAGAGGGGCTAGAGACCTGGGCTCCAAGGCTGAAGCTGGACTCTGAGTACTTCAAGAGTCACCTTCCATGTTTAAGTGTGTTTATTAACAATAACCATTACTATGACATTTGAAGGCTGCAAACAACACTGCTCTGACATACTAAAAGAAACTGTTCTATGCTTTAGTCAGTTTTCATATCCTCCTGCACTCTGGCAAAGGGCCTTACAGAGCACAGCTTCAGTTAAGCACCTGTAAGCTACACGTAGCTGGCCTTTTCACAAAAGTCATGATCATACAGGCTTCTCATAACTAAGTCATGAACAAGACACAGGCGAAATCTGTAAGCAAATTTGTTTTCATCAAGATTTACAGAATCAGGAAAGGATTCCTAACCCATACGAGACCCTGCAGAATGCTTTCCAAAGGTTTGCTGCTTTCAACTTGAATGCAGAGTCCGTGTCTTCTCGGGCTGTGGTTTTCATGTAATCTGGTCTAGGACAGAGCACACAGTAGGTGCTTGGTGAGTGTTTCCTGCAAGGATGTAGTACATGGGTCATGGCAGAAGTGGAGAACGGCGGAGGACCACATGCCAGGAAGCATTCCTGCCAGCTGTGGTAGCTTCCTTGAGTCAGCACCAGCCCAAGTCAGGCGTCCTTGCTGTCCACCACTACCTGGTACAGACTCAGAGTCCTACGTCAGTCAGAGACTCTGGCCTCGTACAGTCTGCTGATCTGTCACAAGACCCTGAGCAAGTCATTTGCCTCTTGAGCTATAATGAGGGGGTGGACAAGATGATCCACACTATTCTATACTGATTGTAAAAATAAGTATCAGGCTACTAAATTTCAAATCGCATACAAAGCTCCTGGGGTTTTAAGATACTCAAAAATCACCATCCTAGGCCTTTCTCCTAATCAAGGTATTCTAACCCCAATGGTCAAACCCCAATGGTCAATGACACAGACCTCAGCCCGTCAGCAGGGAGGGATGACTACTGAAGCAATGGCAGGCGCCTCCCAGGGATCCAGACTGCATCACGGCCCTCACTGGTCATTTTACTCTAAAACACACTAGGCGAGTGTCTAATAAGCATCACGGTTGAAATGTGTATCAGGAATACGATATTCACAAACAACAACTGCTCCACACTTACCTTCAATGCTATACACAGGCCTTAACAGTTACGACTGCCCCCGTTATCACCAAAAAGTACAGTGATGTCTACTGGATAAAGAGCCCATTCTAGGCACTGGGACAGTATCATGGCGGGCTTCTCATCTGATCAGGCATCTGGCCAGGGAAGAGATAAGCCTCCAAGAATGTTCAACTGGAACGAAACATCATTTAGAAATTTGATCTTACTAAACGATAAGGAACCATAGTCTGTAAGGGTGTGGCCAGGCAAGAGGACACAGATAAAGTACGTCCAAGGAAAGAAACCCTACTTTGCCCCAGCCTAACCTTTGGGACTGCCAATGGAAACCAAAAAGGGGTGGAGACTTATGGGATTTAAACATATTTAAATATATTGTTCTGTATGTTAACATCTTCCTGTTGGGATGGTACTCTGTGATAGCTCTTCAGAACTGTGGAGGTGGTCACAGGGTCTTATGTGCGGACCCCAGCATTGGGGCTCGGATAACAGCATGCCCAACTGCACAGTGCATGTTACAGAACAGGTCAGGTGTGTATGTGTAACACCTTACTTGACCTGAAAGCGAGACACTACTCTTGTCCACAGCGTATGTTCTGTGCAATACAAACAAAGCATTGGTTCAGTGCACTTGGTGAAAGCAGGACACAATCAAGCAGTTGGTAAAAACACATCCTTGTTCCCACTTGTAGGTCTCCCAAGAGTCCCTTCGAATTTACCTATACGAGTTTCAGCTTCCCGCTTGCCACTTAGCTTGATAACGACTCAAAAATCATTCCCTTGTTTTCAAGGGCTCTTCTTTCTTGTCTGCTCTGTGTACTACAGGGCAGTATTGACACATGGAATTAATGACAGGGTCTGTAATGAAACAACAGTCATGCAAACACCAGTCTGCTCTTTTGATACAACAGCATGTTAGAGACCTATTCACCTCCCTCTGACTGAGTACTGCATAATAGTTGCGATCCTTTTGTCTAACATTCTGTTCTGTGGTTAGAAAAGGAGGAAAAAGGGAAACTGCTTCTTCTAATCACCCCTGATTAATTCTCTGCTCTAATGAGGGTGCTGCTAGTTAGCCAGGTTCTGTTACTTGTTTTGTTGACTTCTGTTCAATGTATAACAAAACCCAAGACAAGATAATTGGGAACCATTACTTTGACACAAGGATTCTTGTTCTTAATGTGAGGTTGGCCTGGAAAAAGAGCCCTGACATGTTAAATTAGCCATTTCATATTTAATTCCTTTTGGCCTTTGGAAGATGGGATGAAGCATTAGTATATAAATGAAGTATTTTAATTAATGTAGGATGCCTATAGGGATGGATCCCGCCAGCCCAGAGGGTGCATGGGACTGAGACCTGGGCTTCTGCCGCTGTGACAGCCCCGCTGACTGACAGTCACAGAACCTGTTGATGCCGTGGGGGAAGGGTGGCCTTCGCGTGTGGACACTGATGCTTTACATTTTATCAATGGCTTCCGAGTGCAAATGCTGCTCTCTCACCAGGACACTGACAGAAAAGGAACAATGGGGATGGTGCTTTACCACAAGAAAAAGGCCTTCCAATTGCATCTTAATAAATAATCGACCTTTCCTCAGCCCTTATCATTACGTTCTAAGTTGGGGCACTAGTGGAAAAGCTAAGTATGCTGTGTAAGTATGCTGACCCAAGATAAATGGACACAGTGAACTGCTCACAACACCACACCCTTCCACTTTGTAATGGGACTGGGAACTAAAAATTCCCACAGGGAAGCTACTTTAAAGTGAAGATTCAGTAATGTGATGACGTGGGTACCATACTCATTCTCTTTTAAAAAGGATGCTCAAACCCAGTTTTAACAAAGGATCTTAGGACTTTTACTGCTTCCCTCATAAAGCCAGTTTTTTAGCTAGTGACGCAGCATCTGACATGGAGCAGGAAACTGGGGTGCGCAATGCTTTCCACTATAACCTGCAGTCCGCCAAAGCAGACCTGCTCCCTGCTGGCCATTGGTGCTTCGCATTCATTTACAAACTGCTGAGCGTAGCTGGTAACCTGTCAGAACAGCACACTATCTGGGAGTTCTGGAGGGAGTCAGCCCTTAACCTGTGAGGCTCACTCCTCAATGATAACCTCCCATCCTACTTAGACCACAGGATTGTCTCAGGACAACCGGGAGCACACATAGAAGCTTTTTTTTTGTTTTGATTTTTTACATTTTGAAGCACTGAATTAGTTTTTTATTATTCTCATTTCTGTTAGAGATAGCATGCAAAGCTCCTGAGACTCTGTCACTACCCATGTTAGTCAGCGCAGTGAGGAGCAGTGGGGGAGCAGGGGCACTGCGGAAAGAGCACTGGTTAGTTTACCTTAAATATTGACCTCCTTATTTGGGTGACATTGTGAGAAAACTTCTCTGCTCTGTTGTCTACGTTAACACAATTATATGAGGTCTGCAGGCCAGCAAACTCCACTGAAGGAAGCAGCACAAACGGAAATTCTAATAATCTTTCCAATCAGGAAAATCTGAACGTTAAAAGGCACGCAGCTAGGAAGGAGGCTATTTTTATTTTGTGTTTTGCTAACTGTCAAAAGCCATTTCAGCTTGTGCTGTAACCAAGCACTCAGTGACTCCAATAAGGAATACAAAGAGCACATGACATTGTGCTCTGGTGTCTAGCCAACCTAAAGAGGAGCAGACTTAAGCCTCTCAAAAGAGTCCTCTCGTTCTTGTAAGGGCGTGTCAGCTGAAAGCACCGAGCTCCCTAATTGAGATTTCATGGCACCTTCATGATGGAGAACAGTGCTGTAGTCAGAAACATAAGGACATTCTGATTTGGATTAACCACATTTCAAGGGTTTAGTAGTCATGAGGGCGGGCTGTGTTTCTGAAGTGCACCTGAGGGGCAGATCCTGACCAGCTACTTTTTATCCATCAATCTCTCATAACTTTAGACTTGATGCCAGAATTAAGAAAGCTATGTCCCACATACCAATACGGCTGGCAAACATGGGGTGGGACTGGAAGCCTGGTTAGCGCAGGGAATGCATGTGAGCAGGCGGTGGTGGCAGAACGGGTATTGTTTGTTTACACGCAATTTCAACCAGCGTCCTGTGTAAGCAAACAGGCAAAGTGCCTTGGTAAACAGAGCTGGAGTGAGAATGGAGGGTGAGATCAGTCCACGCGGTGTCGATTAAGGAAATAAAGGGGATGCGTGGAAACGGAACTGCGATGAAGATGCCCCTGCCCTTGGCCCACAGCAAGGCCGCGTCAGGCACTGGACTTCCTACCTACAGCGCACTCCAGCTTCCTGCTTGACAGCAGGTGTTTATTTTTGCTTTCAAAGTCTGAGGAGGAGAGAGGAGGTGGAGAGGCAGGCAAGTTACAAACATCATATGATGTTTTCTGTAATCTTATATCTCAGGCTTGATTGCTAAATATACTTATCATTCTAGATTAAAGAAATTCATATCACTAACTTAAATCAGCCAGCCATGGCCCACATTTCTTTATGATATTCCTTTACTTTAATGAAGTTTGGCTAAGAAATGGACCTGACAATTACACTTTGAAGCCTTGAATCCTGCAGGTTATTCTATAGAGGAAAAAAAAAAAAAAAACAGAACCAAACCAGACTTCATACCTGGAGGTCAGTCCTTTCCATCCCTATACACTGGGGAAACCACAGGGCAAAAGGCACCGAGTTAGCTCTACAGGGCAGGGCGTCCATGGTCCAGGTGATTTCCTAGCTTTGAAAACCCCCTACATAAGGACTAGACACATCTGACACAAACATGATCTGACATCATTGAGAGTGTTAATCCGTCCATACTCAGTAAGGGCAGTCTAAGCACCAATCTCAACACCTTTCGAATCCTAGCTGGGATGAGGATCCTTAGGGCTATGTCCAGTGTGAAGGTTAGAGGGACAGGTGACCTCAAGTTTCACAGTAATGGCAGTAGCGTCTACACCCTACACCAAGCTCAGGAAGAGTACGTGGCATGACCAACCTTAGTCATCACTTTGGAAAGTGCTTTGGCACGGGCCACTGTTGCTAACCACCATCCTGGTGCAGGGGCTTCACATCTGCTCTCCTAGGGATAAGAAAAGGAAGTGTCTAGTGTCCACGCCTCGGCCACGCCACCTCCAGTCCTAGCCTCAACTCTCTCGGGCAGGAGAAACTGCAGAGAGGATGCTAAGAAGTGCTCTGGCAGGCACTGTAACAGACACAGTAACACAGTGGACAGAGCAAAGGCCTTGAGTTCTGGAAAATGAAGTTCCTAGTCTCACTTTATTTTCAAGCTGAAGAGAGCACACGTGGGTGAGTGTATGATAAACTGCGGTCGTCCGCTTAGGAATGTTTTGGGCATTTCTGTGTCCTTGCATTTCCCACCGGTCAGTGAGGTTAACATGCTACCTGAGCTCCTTGGAAGAAAGACGCAGTAAGCAAAGTCCAAAGACTTGAAAGACTAAGTCTCTCTTCCTACAATGAATGGCCGTTTCTCTCCAGAGCACTTCTTCAACTCCATGACCAGCCCACTGTCACTTCCGTTCCCTGGGAGAGGCTCCCTGAACAAACTGCTTCTTTTCCTCAGGGCACGCAGTTCAACACATAGCTTTTGCCACAATTTCTCCTTTTATTTCTGAGATCAATTATACACCTGTTTCTCCACTACAGTATGAGTTTTCCAAAAGCAGAAACTGCCTCTCTTGCCTCCTAGCTCAGTGCTCTGCCCATGGGAGCTGCTGAGTACTGAACCTAAGTCTACTTAGCTGTGTGGCATCTTATTTTTTCTTATTTTACAAAAATAAGAAAAAGTAAATAGAGAGATGAAGCTTAAGACTGATGAGTAATACAGCACAGCAAACATGAAAGACACATGAAGGAGTGGTTTCGTCTGCGTTCTTGCTCTGGGATGCCTACGCTGACTCTGTACAAATGTCACTGTCATTAGTGAGAGCAAATGTTAGAAAGCACACACAGGCAGACAATGTAAAACCACCATACATCATGCAAAAAGTCAACACGACTACGCTCAAAGTTACTTTTGCTTCAACTTCAATGGCAAAATAGGTTCTATCAAAGCCAACACAAGACATCCTAGCTCTGTTCTGTACAGGCAAGCATAAGAGCCACCTTCAGCTTGAGCCAGGCATCTGCTGGGTGCTTCTCGGTCAATGTCTGTCTTCTTTGAGACATAGTTTAAATCAAGTAGGGCATTTTAGAATTAACGTTTATGTGTTTACTTATTTAGTAGCTTCTAAACTATGTATAAAATATGTAGATACCCCTGGAATTAAAAAGAGAATTGATTTATGTGAATTAATACAGTACTTATAAAATTGATTATCTATAAATAAGCCAAGTATCCAGATTACACTGTATTATCTTGGGCGTTTCCTCGTGCAGGTTGAATGGACCAACTATAGTAACTGCCAACTGCAGGAAATGCCAACTGCAGGAAATGCCAACTGCAGGAAATGCCTATCACCACAATAGGAAATGTAACTACTTGAGTGATCTCCTGAGCTAAAACACTAACATGTTCCACTCAGGGCCTTGCTAACAATTTCCTTTCTGGCTTCCCCCAGACGGATCTACTGATCTTATTCTAATGTACTATACCATCCTGCTTCATTAGCTACATCAGACCCACTCGGAAGCTGTCAGACCCATACAACTATTTTTTTATATATTCTTTTTTAGGAGAGGAGGGTGCTGGGGACTGAACCCTTTCCCCAGCTACCAGATCTTATCTTATATATTCACATAGAGCTTGTTATTCTGCTCTAGTAACAGTCTCATGACTATTACTAGTTCCTTCCGGGAAAGGACAGAAATGTAGGAGCAGCCAGCAGTCATCAAGTCCTACAATACTCTGTAGACAGTGAAGCTACTTTTAAGCAGCTTCTACACATTACCACTGTTATCCACCACAGAGTGTCACAAACAGCCCTATCTGCTATAATTCTGCCGAGCCACAGTCATCCATTTCTCATTCAGCTAAGCCTCTGGCTACAATGTAACCTCTGCTTTCCCTGTGAGCCCCGCCCCTTCCCTTCCCACCACCAGTCTCTGGCTGTTCTTCTCCAACTGTTATTTCTCTTAATGGATGAATAGCAGCCTTTATGGTTATGTGAAAAATGAAATGAACAGAAAAGATGTCCCTTTACATGGTGGCTGTCACCAACACAAAGAAACACTCACTCAAGATGACTTACAGGAGACAGTGGTTTAATAATGACTGGAAGATAAGGCAACCCATCCAAGCCTGCAGGAATCAGCTCTAGTAACTCCTCAGAAGAGGGAGTTGTTGATCAGCATATCTTCATTTAATATCTACAAACTAGTTATTTTGGAAAGGCGGTGTGAAGCAAGAGGGGACGGCTGGTTGCTTTTGGAACCCCTAATTAGTAAAAGTGCTGGCTTAAAAAAAAAAAGAAAAATCCTTTATCTGAGCTATTTCTTTACACTTCTTCCTGAAGAGTATATGGCATTTTAGAATCCTTGGTTTCAGCAGCAACTCAAAAAGCAATACGGCAAACTTGCACATCGAAAAGGAAAGGAGAAAAAGCGCACCATGGTTTCAAACAAAAACCAAAACAGACTGAAACAAAAATACAAGAAGCAGCAAAATCACTGGCCCTATCTCAAAGCATTCTTTTAAAGACAGGGGTTAGTCAGTTAATATCAGAGCCATCTCTAGCTCCTGCTCAGCACTGAGTGTTGACGTGACTCACTGACACACACCCAGAAGCGGCACCTGAGTCCTGTTGCTGCCTGGCCTCCCTGCTCAGTAGACATGGATTCCAGAGTTGCTGTTCTATGGTGACTCTCAGTGAGAGAGACAAAGAACTAGAACATTCTTAGAAACCAAGCAGAAAATGGATGGGAATACAATACCTGGAAAGTTTATCAAGCATGTTGACAAGTTTCATGGCTTCATATTCTTTTTGTTCTTCTGTCATTTCATCTATAGGGTTTGGCATGGGTTCCTCTAAATGACCAGTGATAAGATTAATGCTACAAAAAGAAAAAAAAGTTATGCTGTATGTTTTAGAATTATGCTCTTTCTATACTTTTCTGGTCCAAATTTTAAGTTATATAAGAAAGAGTATAATAGCCAAAAATTGGCAATAATTTCAATAATAATTTTATTGTATAGAATTGCTATAGGAATGTTTATTATTATTATTATTGTTGTTGTTGTTTTGCTTTGGAAAATTAGTTTTTTTTTTTAAATTAAAACTGACTTGCCAACTATTTTTTAAGGCATGGCTGCTTTTAAAAATATAAAATTTGATTGGTGCCGTTGGATAGATATCCTTGGATGCACATCTTACTCATTAATCGTAAGGGGACAAATACTTTCAGAAGTGGAATGAGAAAATCCATTTTGTGATACAGCATAAAACAAACATGTCCAAAAAAAGAAGAAAAAACAAAAACTGGAAAGATGATGACAGAGAGGCTGCAATCTGGAAATGAACGCATGCCGATTTATAATCTCAGGAAATTAGTCCATTAGTGAGACCACAGAGGTAATGAGAATCCAAAACAGTGAAAGATGAAGTAGAAGAGTAATTTTAATTCCATTTGATCTAACTTAGGAAGAAAATGCAAGCTAGCCTACCAAGAAACAACAGCATCTTAGCTTTCTGGAAACAGATCTAGAACAATGCTCACAGCAATGGATTTCTTATACCAGCTTTGTATGAAGTTCTAACACCAAACAAATTATACTCGTAATAAAAAGGCCACATTTCTTTCTTTTTTACTAAGAAGGGAAAATAAAACAGCTGTTTCAGTGTCTAGTGTCTAAACATCAATACCTTAAAGCAGTATTCTTGAGAAGACACAGACACAGTTACAGTGTCTTGTACCAGCCAAGTACAGGTTGTTTTAATGACCAAAATGCAGACAGCAGGGCCGGCATTGCTAACAAATGGCTTCCTAAGGTCTTCCAGATACAGGACCAATGCTCTCAGGGATGGTCCGGGATAAGCAAACCAATACAAACTGAGGCTTCGGAGGCCGGGGTAAACTGAACAGTGAAAGGCAGTGAACTGACCGGCTCCTCTGGCTGTCGTAAGGGCGAGCTCACGGGTCGCTGTCACTACCACCAGGCTTCCTTTCTGCTATACTCTTCAGAGGCTACAGACCACAACACATCCACCATCTGTGTTGCTGTCCTCAGACAGGGTCTGTGACTACAGCTGCACCTTAAAAGCCTGCTCAGCAGGGTCTAATGCTGTGTGCCTAAGAAACTTACCAAGGTTTGAGGTGGGCTGGGCAGCAGCTCAGGGGTAGAGCCCTTGCTGAAAAACTAGGTGTGAGGTCATGCATTAAATCCCTAGCATGTCCCCCCCTTGTCCCCTAAAAAGGCAAATGAACAAATCAAGAAAACCCCGTGTTCCCATCAGCAAACTATGTACAAGTCAGAAAGCCGCGGAATTCCTCAGGGACAAAGGAAATAGAGCAGGCAGAAGACACTGGGACCTAGAGCCCATCTGCTGGCGCGACCCCTTGTTTCTAGGCATCCTCTGTGGTTCTTCAGGGACTCTGGGATGACCTGAAAACATGCAGACTGGTCACTTATTCCTAGTCTTGAACCACTCGGGGAAACACTCTAAAGACAGAGCTGGCCTGGCTTGGGTCGACGTGTGAAGTTCCCCGTGTGACCTTAATACACTGGGCTCACTCAGTGCCTGATCAGATATTGCCCTGTAGTTTCCTTTTTAAAGGTGTCCACAAAAGAGAAAGGGTCTCTAGCTAGAGGCCCTCACAGAACTGCTAAACGGGACACTGTATTTCCCAAGCTTAAGAACAAAGAGAACCGAACAAGGTTTCAGAAGAGAGTCTGGAAATGCAGTGTCCCCATTGCTATTTCCTAACAGCTGGCCTTATAGGTGAACAAAGGTAATTATTACAGCTAAAACTCAAGCCCAGGAGTCGGGCATTCTGGGAGAGCGCAGGCGCAGGTCACTAGGCTTCTCACACTGACAGGTATGATCTGAAGAACCACACCTGCACACTTCAGGAAACAATGACAGTAGTACACGCAATTGTGTACCTCAGAGAAGGGCCAGGTACACACAGGTGAGCCCTGTGGTGTTGCGGGTTCCTAGGTTGAGCAGAACACAGAACCGTTCTTTTCTTGGTACCCACTCCCCAAGACAAGGTTTCTCTGTAGCCCTGGTTGTCCTGGAACTCACAGGGATCCGCCTGCCTCTGCCTCCTGAGTGTTGGGACTAAGGGTGTGTATTGGTGGGATGCCAGAATGATTCAAGACTTGCTTTGAGGCTAGCTCCCAAGTGACAAGGTCCTCTGCTGTCTAAGCACGAAGGCAGCATTTTCATTCTCAAAAGAGCGAGGCCCCTCCCCGACCCATGGAGAAAACACAGTGCCCCAGTAACCCCAGGGACTCAGGGTTCATTTCTCCTTTTAAACAGACATCTTTTTCCTTCCTTATGGTACTCAGGGGAATGTAAACAAAACCACATAAAACACAAGCCGGGACAATGAACGGTGCCACTCCTGCATGAGAAAAATGTCAACGTGTCCTGGCAGATGGGACTCTGTCCCCTCCAGCCAGTCTCGTACAGCTTCCCACCCACAAGAAGAGAAAACAAGTCACCATGACAATGGCAAAGCTGTATATTTTGGAATGAACGCATACCTAGCACTGTTAGCCCCTACAGCCCAACACTCAGCTTGATAGGTTCTAAGATCCCAACACGGTGAAATTCTGAGGTTATTCTTCCTTGGTGTGAAGACTGAGTCTTCCCTGCTTTAAGGACCCTGTGGTGGACCTTTGGGTGGTCTTCATTTTCCCTGTCTGTCTTCCCCTCTTCCATCCTTCCAGGCCTGTGAGTAGTTCTATCTTCCAACTAGGTGACAAGTATCTGAACTCCATGAACTAACCATGATATTCTTTTTAAATAAGACCATTATAAGAACTGATGAGTTATGATCTGACAACAGGAGGATTATGGCAAAAAAAAGTATGAGCAAAAGAGCATGTTATAAAAAGTTGAACTACATTTCAATTCTTTTAACTGTTTCTGGTCAATATCAGTAACACAAAATACTTAAAAATTTATTAGTGTAGTCAACAAACGTGCATAAAGACAGATTTTTTTTTTAAAAGTCCTGTTCCCTTATAGAACTTACCTTCTAATAAAAAAAAAGAAGAAAAAAAAAAACAGACCTAAGGAATAGGGAAGCTTATGGTGTGCTGAAGGTAGGAGGTGCTGTTAAAACAAAACAAAACAAAACAAAACAAAAAAAACAAAAAAAGGCGCAAGGAAGAATGAGGTGGAACGGAAAGTTGGAAAGTTACGTGATGTCAGGCTCTACTCAGGACTAAGCAGCTGCAGAGAGGAGACTCAAGCAGGACATGGAGGGGGAGAGGGAAGAGAAACCGCAGCCATCGGGAGGATGTGGTCCCACAGTGAGGACTTCGGTCTTGGTCACCAGGCAGTTCTGAGCAACTGCGAATGGAGTCAACAAGGTCAGTGGGAGCTGCTTTACAGCAACAGAGCTGGGCTGGGCCTTGGTGCTGGAGCCCCAGCTCTCCAGCTAAGGTGCTGGAGCCCCGGCTCTCCAGCTAAGAAGCCCGGTTTCTGTCACTAGTGCCAGCCAAGGGGAAAAGGATTTCAGAAAGAGCCAAAGTTTCAGCTTGGTGACAGTTAAAAGCAAAAGACCCAACTAAATTCTGAGTGTTATCAAGCGGAGCCGTGACTGACAGGTGTGTGTGAGCATGTACTGGAGGATGCTGAGTCACGTGCACGCCTGCGCTCTCAGGGACACTGGTTTCTGTTTCGGAATTATTAAAGAAAAGTAGCCATGGCAAGGAGCTATGAACAGGGAAGCTGCATGAACAACAAGTTCGTCTCTGATTAGTGGAATGGAGTGGTAGGTGGAGTACAGGAGCAATTAAACCACAAGTCCCCACTTCTCATCCTTTAGTAGGTTACTACTGGAAACAGACAAGCACCCTCCGGAAAAGCAACGCATACTGTGAGCATGAAGCATAGAACAACACATACTGTGTTCATACAGCACCTCATGAACCCCATGGCTGCGGTATAAGATATGCAGTTCCTCAGAAAACTGAACACACAAACACAGGTGATACAGACTCCAAAGAAAGGAAAGCAGGGACCTGCCGAGATACCAGGGCACACAAGCTCAGCACTGTCAGCCACCGGTGAAAAAAGGTGTACTGGTCTCATAATTGCCAATGGGTAAACACAATGTTTATACAGTAAAATGGAGAACCTTCCAGTCTTAATTTAGGAGGATATTCTGATACATACTACAATATGGGTGAGCCCTAAGTGAAACTGGCCGATCACAAAGGACAATATATGATTCCACAAATGAGGCTTCTCGATATACAGACAGGAAGAGGCGAGGAGAGGGCACAGGACGGAAGATGCAAAGTTCTGGAGATAAATGGGAACAACAGTACACAGCTGTAATCGCGGCATTCTCAAGGCTGCGGTCAGCCTGGAAGAAGAGGATGGGGCTTTCTCTGAAGCAGCTGAGGCAGGAGGATGGCTTGAGAACTGAGACCCTTCCATTTTAAAAAATGCAGGTACAACAAAGGCTGGTGAGTGTGTGGAGGGGGCGTGAGTGTGGCAGAAGCATTAATGATTTTGCTTTCATCCAGGGTCTTATGATGAGATTTTAGATGTATTTCACTGGATGCTTACAGTCAAAACCCTGTGTTCCTAAATTAGTTAAATCCTAGTATGTACAAACACAGTCCTGATTAGGCAAAGAAAAAACAATCTGCAAGTCCTGATCTGTGGTTCATTCACTTTAAGAAATATTAAACCATATAATTTCTACAATAAGAAGACAATTATTACCAGACCAGAGCGCCAGAGGGGAAGACGACCCAGGCACTGGCCCTACACCTGAGGTCCCGAATGCTGGGCATGGCTCTGAGGCTCTGCGCTGCACAGGTCAATCACCCGGGGCTCCTCCCCCCGGAAGACACCTCTGGAAGCCTGTGCACCTAGCCTGAAAGTTGTAAACATCTGTCTTCCCACTAACGTTTAGAATGACATAAACCACACCAGTTATCAAGGGGCTCCATGCTCAGAGACATAAAAGGCAACAGTATAAAATTAAAACTGAGCTGGGTGTGGTGATACAGGCCCAGTAATTGGGAGGCAGAAGCAGGTAGATCTGAGTTCTAGACCAGCTAGGGCTCCATAGTAAGACCCTGTCTAAAAAAGAACAAATGAAGAGGAGCTTAGACTGATGGTGTCCTTTGTGTGATAAAGGACTTCTCTGAACACTGGACAAGGCTAGATGTCCATGCGGTGTGTAACTGGGTTTTATGCCTAATTGCAGAAAACCATTTCCAGTTCATTAAATACATTTATTTTGACAATAAAAAGACTGCTGTAAAATTAACTGTCTCAAAGCCTGGACAGAAGCTCCACACAATTCCTGGTTTTAGATGCCAATGAAGGATTACAGGTTACCTTGGTGCATTAAGGCCCAGTGTTCCTTGTTAAGGTAGCACTCTGGACTTCCTAGTTACTATGCCAGTCTACAGGCCATCTCCTGGGTGGAATAAAGCACACGGACGGAAATGCAGACGCCCGTCAGTCACCCATGAGTATGAGTTTCTGACCCTAGCTGGCTGTGTCCACGGGCCCTGAAATTCTCCATCTTTGTTTACAACCACAGGACTCTTTTTTTTTTTTTGTTTTTCGAGACAGGGCTTCTCTGTGGCTTTGGAGCCTGTCCTGGCACTAGCTCTGTAGACCAGGCTGGTCTCGAACTCACAGAGATCCGCCTGCCTCTGCCTCCCGAGTGCTGGGATTAAAGGCGTGCACCACCATCGCCCGGCTAACCACAGGACTCTTACGTGTAGTGTGTGCTTTATGTCTCAGCTCCTGGTAAAGCTGGGGTGAAAGGATCTGCTTGAGTCTATGACTTGGAGATCAGCCTGGGCCCCCACATCACCAAACAAGGGGGCTTTTCCAACTAGTATATCATGACAAAATGATGCGGAAATGTACTTTATGGAAAAAATTGAAAGCAACAGCTTGGAAAACTAATTCGGAGCGTTGACTTCTTTTGTTCTCAAATACTTGACAGAGACGTTTAACCCACAGCATCTAAGTGACAGCAGTCTATAAAGCTCACTACTTAAGAGCCACCGCCAGCCTTTGTTTCTGCTGAAGCCTGGAGGATTAGGGTGCTAAAAATAACACCATGCACTCAAACCTGACTTGTCAAGAAACAGGTCACACTGTTCCTGCCTGATGAGAGACTGGCCATTTTTTCCACTTTATGGCAATTTAATATTATGTTGTCAACAGAACACAATCTATACTTGATTTTAGACTGTGATTTTCTATTCTTGGTTACCTACTTCATGACCCATATCATTCTACAGAAGACGACCAGGAGAAAACGGAAGCCCAGTCCCACTGACGTCATGGATCCCAGGAAAACTCAGCTCAAATGACCGCTAGCAAGTGGGAACTGAGGATGAGCACTGGAGGACCAGGAGGAAAGAGGAAAGAGAGGTGGCAGTTTGAGAAAACGAGAATGTCTTTAATTGCACATACTGACTTGTCTTCCTGGGCACTGACACACCTGTGACTACAGTTCTGCACAGAGCCCGCCTCTTCCTTTTCTCGCTGCAATACTTTTTGACTTGTAAGAATGTTTATGCAAGGGTGCTAAGAATGACTGAAGCGTCAAATAACCAACTTTAACACTTGATGTTGTTAGCTGTACGCTCTATCATGTACGCATGTGTTAGCGGTACATTAGAAGGTAAATGGCGACAATGCTCTTAAACTGATTAGCGCTGGTACTGCTCCGGAGAGGGTAATGGACTTGTTGAAAGAATCGTGCAGCACAGTCCATGAAATCCCACCCTGCAACCACCTGAAGTCACTCTAGGGTACTATTTGAAACTGTCTCTAAAAGACCAGTAGGTGGAAAACTTACAAATCCACAAGAGAAAGCCAAAGGAAGTGGAAGACAAACCACTAACTGAAAGACACAGCCACTTAGTAAACAGAAACTTGGTACTATACTTTGGTTTTGCATTTTTGTATTCTTCGGTGTCCGTGTCCTCGTCCTCTGAGTACCAGTTATCTCCTCTTCCTCCAGCCAAGAGGCCCCTGGCCGCCAGCAGTCCTGCAGCGTTCCCATAGCCAGTGTACTTCAGCAGGCTGTCCACTGTGAAAACACAACAGGGTTTAGACAGGCGTCCTAGGTGCTCACCACTGACACCCCCCTTCCAGCAGAGAACCCTCTGAGAGAGGCCTTTAAACAGAGAGTGGTTAGGGTGAACTACCTACAAACACCCTACCTGCTATGAAGGCTTAAGATCCCAGCAATTCTGAAACTGCTCATCCGTACACACTCTGGCAAACGGGGGGGGGGGGGGGGGGGGGGGGGGCTCTCTGCCCCGATAGTAAGAGGCATGCACCAACTTCCTGATCTCTAATTTTATTTTATTTTTTTAAACTAAAGATAATGAAAGTCAAATGGAGGTTCTGCATGTGTTGTATGAATAACCTTAATTTTTTTTTATTCCTTAAAGAGATAGGAAGAGAAATATATAGGCATTTTAACACCTAAGGGCATTAGCAAATTGGAAAGGTTAATATACCCCTTAGCAGGGCAGGACAGGCTGGGAAGATGCTCGTGACACAGGCATGAGGGGCAGAGTTCAAATCCCCAGAACCCATGTAAAAGCTGAGCAGGTACTCGTAAGACAGAGACAGTACTAGAAAGTCCCAGGGTCAAATGAGAGACTGCTTCAATAAATAAAGTAGAGGGCAATTGAGGAAGACATTCAACTTTTGGGCCTTCATATGTATACACATGCACACCTACACACACACACTAAAAAGTAACATGTAAACACAGGAAGCCCACTGAGTCCGACCAGCTAGATTTCCATATGATCACTATTACCAGCTGGTAGAACTTTGGCTCTGGCCCATTGTCTGACTTGTAGAAATGGAGTAAGAGCTGCATTCCTCAGAGTAAGGCCACTGAGCTTCTCAGAAAAGCAAGCTCTCCTTCTCTTAAAACATGATGTAAAACGATCATGTTACACCCCCACACACAGAGTTTGGGGCATTGGGTACGGGTAAAAGAAGCCTGCACCGCAGAGGTGTGTGTGTGTGTGTGTGTGTGTGTGTTACATAAACTTTTAAATATACTGAACAATTACTGGCACTTCATTTTCTTCAGGTACAATTTCAAGGCACACAATTATGTCTATAATAAAAAGAATAAAAACTGTCAGAATTTCCTCAAGGTTTTAAAGTAGAATTTCATAAAATGATATCCTAAGGTCGAGTGCGAAAACAAACCACACCACATATTCATCCACATATGAAACCATGCTAAAATTGAAATAGCACAACTCATACCATCCACCTCAAAAAATAACGCTGGAGAAAATTCAGACATACAGACAGGTGCTGAGGAGGAGGAGGAGGAGGAGGAGGAGGGAGAACTCACAGGCGTACAGATGGGTGCTGAGGAGGAGGAGGAGGAGGAGGAGGGAGAACTCACAGGCGTATAGACGGGTGCTGAGGAGGAGGAGGGAGAACTCACAGGCGTACAGACGGGTGCTGAGGAGGAGGAGGGAGATCTCACAGGCGTATAGACGGGTGCTGAGGAGGAGGAGGAGGGAGAGTATGTGTGTGGACTTCAGCTGGGGATGGAGTCATACAGAAGGAGGAAGGGGAGAATCAATACTAAGAATGTTTGAAGAAGCCACAAGGAAACGTGTGATAAGCTTGCTTACAAATACATACATATAGACGTGTGTGTATAGTTTACATGCAGTTATGTCACGTGGGATGATAATACTCCCTACAAAGTGCCACAGACTAACAGAACTCAGTGTCAGGCATTAGAAACCTCCCTTTGAGTTGTTAGGGAAGTCCAAGGGACCCCCCCAAAACAATAGAGGCCATTGTCTTTGGTTGCTTCCCAGAACTTGAAGACCCTACTACTGGGACACTATACACTTCAGACACAGGACTAAGAGGAATCAAGCTGCACTTGCTGTGGAAGGCTCTTCTCTAAGGACTAGCTCATAGTATCTGAGGATGCTACTCGAGCTGCCAAGGGAGCCAAGCTAGCGACAGTCCTACCCAGCTGCAAAGCCGAGGGCTGGCAGGGCAGCTCTTTCCAGAGGTGCAGTAGTGGCTGCACCTGAGGCTACCCACAGCTGTCTAACTATCTGAGACCCATTCACTAGAAGGGAATTCAACCTGTCTGGAAAGGTCACAGATCCTACGGGAAACCTACTACTTCCGTCTTCCTAACCCAGCATCATTTTTAACTGCCCTGATGCCCCACAGACAAACAGAGCTCCTCTCTGCAGCAGATGGAGTGACAGTGGAGTGGACAGGCCCATTCAGAGCATCAACAGCGAACACCTACAGCTAAGACTCAGGAAACACTGCGGAAGGTGGGGCGGAAAGGCTGTTACGACTGCTAAGAGCCAGAGGTCCAGGACATCTGCCACCAGACAGTGGCTTCCAGACACAATAGGGATGCTGCACCCGTGAGATCTAAACAGTTGGCTCTCCTAAATAAGACCTGGGTAATGATTAATGACACCATGAGTCCACATGCCAAACGGATAGGACAAATTTCGTAGGGCCCCACCCTTAGATGAAGATTTATAGGCCATCAATGTCATCTGAAAAAGGAGGATCAGTTTCTCCAGGGATGAGCCCAGGCCCCTGAGAGGTTACTGAATCCCAAGTGGCCAGCCCTAAACACATGCACGTAACAGCAACACCAAATCTACTCAGTAGGTTCTTGGATATTTGTGTGTGCACATGCATATAACTATATAATATTACAAGAAGTCACGAATTTGAGAGGGAGTGAGAGGCATGGGAGGGGTGGAAATAATACAAATATAGTAGTCATGTAAAAATAAATATCTTGAGGACATTAAAGTAGTTTAAGACAGAGAAACAGATAAGAAAGGGGAATATTCTGGTCAGAGTATGAAATTACAAAGAATATGGGTAACACTAATTAATTTGTTAAATTTTAAAATACTTCAACTAGAGAGCACTTCTTTGATAGAAAAAATACCTACTCTGGGGACATATGAAGGCATACCTCCTTTCAAGGAATATAGAAAACTGGGTACATTTGTAAAAATGGAAACATGGGTTAAGTGAGATTTATACCATAAAGCCCCAGTTGGCCTGGGGCTCACCTCCCTCCTTCCCAGGTCTCCAGGGCACCGAAATCACAGTAAGGTGCTACCACACTCCGCTTCAATCAGTCATTCTTAACCCCAGACCTAAGGTAGCTGTACTCCTTCTCAGTGGTACTGGAAAACACTATAAGATTTTAATGAGGGAGAGTAATTTGTGCCCTTGGGTAAATCTGATATACTGTCTCTTGCTGCCAGAGCTTCAAGCTGCAGAGATTCAAGTAAGTCAGCAAATGCCTAGTGAGCTACTGAGGGGACAAAAGAATTTCTGGAGTACACAGGTATCCTTAATACTCACAGAGGCCAGACAGGATGTTAATGGTCAGATACAAACCCTCTGGTGATCAGGGGTCACAGACCTAAGCCCTCAGAACACTGATGTTTTTAACACAAGCATGACTACAACGCTGATTTTTATTTGGCGTATACAGGCTGGAAAATGAACCCGGGCCTCACAGAGGACCACTGAGCTAACCCCGTTCTTGGACTTTTTAAAAAAATAAAGATGTTTAGTGGTTTCAGAAAAGTGACATTTACTAAAATTTTTAAAGTTTAAATTAAACATTATGAATAAATGGTTTAAATGAATATACTTAAGAAAGACACAAAGGAAGGGAAATGGCTCAGTGGTTAAGAGCACTGGTTGTTCTTCCAGAGGACATGAGTTCAATTCCCAGCATCCAGATGGCAGTTTCTAACTGTAACTCCATTGCCGTCTTCTGGCCTCCATGGGTACAGTCATGACAGTGGTGCGCAGACACACATGTAGGCAAAATACCCACACAAATAAAATAATGCTCAAAAAACGAATGACATAAAATGGCCCAAGATTAAATAGTCCAAGGTCCCAGAGGCCATGTTAGGTCAGGAGAGGTTAGAGAGGAGAAAACAGGACACTAATAAAGTGCTTCCTTTCTATGAGAAACCTTGTGGAAGCTACTCAACAACAATGACCCGGGGTTTTCATAAGAACAGTGTTACTGCTCGTTTACGGGAACGATATGCCAATTCTGTGGGAAACAGGCTACAGAGATGATTTAAGACATATTATTGTCTTCAAGATAAAGTTAAATGAAATCTCATTAAGTTTTTAAACAACTAAAAACTGGGGAGCAAAGAATGGAACCAAAGGGAATACAGAACTCTAGCAGAGACGACTGCTGGAGAAGCCTTAGCTACCTCTCATGGTAGGGCTAAAACACACCGGGAAAGAGGCTTTCTAAGGGAGGGCTTTCTGTGGTGTTACAAAGACACACACAAGGGTGCTTGTGCTTTGTCATCATGACTGTCTTTGAAGTCAAACAATCCCAGCAAGCAGATGCGTCAGGTGCTGGAGGCCCGCACTGGCAGGCTCAGTGCTGGAAGCCTACCCAGATGTGAGCTCTATCATTTTACCACAAGGCAGAGGAGAGCCCGCTCAGGAGACCATTGTCCCTGCTCAAAGGACTCTTTCCATCCAGAGATCCACACTACCAGCAGCTCTAACCAGTCTCCTTTCCAGCCATGTCCTCCCATATCTATTTCCATATAGCCACCTAAGCCACGCTTCGTTCCGCACAAACATGGCTCTCCTGCTTCTCCTAAAGGCTCAACCCCCAACCACAGGTCTATAAGAGCTCTTCATCTGGCAGCCTCTCCTTTTCTAAAGCTGGTCTCCACTCTGTGCACGCCTCAGACCCTGCAATGTCTTTTTCTGTGACTATCTCCCACTCCTCTGGCTCCTTATAAAAGTCCTTCTCTAAGATGCCACGGTAGGAAGCACAGTCTTCTCTTTAGGATGTTATTCATCACTGTGGGGGAAATATGCAAGACAGCATGGCCATTATACTGAATTCACAGGAAGCACAAATGTTTGCACTTTTACTTAATATTTATGGAACAATTGCTATCTGTAAGCTAAGAAACTCGGTGTTGGGAATGCAAGGCCTGCAGAGTCAGAAGTGTAACAACTGGGGAAAAAATGATCAACTTG